GCCAACTATAAAAATAGCCTGCGTTTGGAACTTAGTTAACAGTGCTGTTAATGGTATGTGAGCTAGGAAAGAGTCCAGTTCACTGTCACAGAGCTAAATTAGTTCTACAGGACAAACAAGATTAAAAAGTACTAAAAACACTGTTTTTTCATTGAAGGAAATAGATAAGACTGGAAACAAAAAGCAGATAAAACGGCACTATTTTTATATGGTATTTTTCTGACACAAGCTCCACTTAAAATAATGTACAAGTACTAATGCTTGAAGGTCTGGGGAGTAAATCAAACTGATTGCATTCCAAGCAAATAAGACCTTTACAATGCCCCACCTTCAGCCTTCTTGTATTTAAAGCTTGTTTGCGCTAGTCTAAATAGTAAGATCCACAAATGGGTTTTTTTAGTTGAGCTGGTACCCTAATTTAGCCTGTGTCCAGTGTTTATCAATAGAAAGAGAAATCAAAGGTTCCATCCCGGGAAATGTACAGCCAGCTTCTGCAGTCATCTTAAGGATATATTATGCCACATAACAATAACCAGGAGGAGCCCGTGGAAATGTTCACATAAGCAGCAAAAATATTCCCACTAGCATAAAGGTGGCAGAGATTCACTGCTTCCTGAGCCATCTGCCTGCTCCCTATTCCCCAACATAAACAGAAAATGAGAAAAGGACATAGCTGAGCAGACTTCTGCTAGGGCTACTCCTAAATTGGCATAAGCTGGGATGCCCTGTGCTATCTTAACCTCAACCAGGGCAGTGTGGCCCTGACTCCAGCAACCACAAATGCTTCCATGCAGTGTTCTTCCCAACACTCTTCTCAGGGTTGGCAAATCAAAGCCTTGTATAATATACCTTTTAATTCCTTTACAACAGGTTATTCAGTGTTCTTGTGGTTCCTTTGAATTGGCATAGTTCAGGCTATGGCCAGGGGCTACATTTGTACTTAGAAATTTGTCCTTTTAGTGCTGCAGAAATCAAGCATACCACTTGATCAAGTGATTTGTTGTGGAGAAAAATGGCAGCTCTACAATGAAATGCACTTTCCAGCAGCAGCTTGTTGGCAGATTGACAATTTCCAGTGCCGTGTGTATTACGTGTACAGCAGTCTGTAGCTCCACAGGGCATGGCTGGATCCTCCAGCCTCCCTGGAGGCTTTGTTCCTCATGCCTACCTCCACTGGCTTCAGGAAATATGTCTGTCACACCAAACTATTGCCCCAGGGAGGCAGAGCCAGGCTGACAGGTTGCCACATGGGCTTCCTGCACAGCCCTTCTTTCTTCGTGAACAGGATAAAATTGTTCTTGCTCAAAGAACATGGTAGGAATCCACCTTCTAGATACCTTCTGCCATGCAAAAAGTGCATGCCCTATCTATTCCCATCACATCAGCATCCCCAGCCTTATTTACAAGCCAAAGAAGGGACAGAGCAGGAACTCATGGGTGGTTGAGCTTGCATCTGGGTACTTCAAAGAAGCCAGCTCTCAGTTTTTGCAAGTGGTAAATAAATAATATGGTTTGGGTGAAAGAGACTTCAGCACTTCTCCTGAAGTGAAGGGAGTGTCAGAGCCCTACAGGAGCTGCAGCCAAGAGATCTGTGTGTGCTTAGTTGACTGACTGACTGACTGCTCTAATATGCAATGGCTATTACTGGGGTGAAGGGGAGACTCTACAGCCCCCTTTCTCCCCTCCCCCAAAGTGGAAGGAGCATCAAGACCCTCCCCACACTGCCAACTTCTTGAGGATTGACGTGGTGGGTGAATCACAGTGCTAGCACTGATAGCCATGGATCATCACAGATAGCCAAGAACATCTCCCACACTGCTTCTCCCATTGTGGATTTGCCTATGCCAAATTGGTTGGTGAATGGGAGACCACATGACCCAGGTCTCAGTCATGTCTATGTGGCCAAATATGGCACTGTACACCATCCCAGACAGGAGCTGAGCAAGCTCTTTGAAGGAGCGGTGGCAGGCCTTGGCTCTGCCAATAGGAGTACAGCATTTACAGGACCTGCTGGTATATGTTCTGCAGCTGTCTGGATGTCCAGGCACTTGAATAGATGTACACACATTTCACACTGTATTTTTGTGGTACTACAATGTTTTTTGGAAATTTTTACTGCTTCAAATATATGCCTGGACCTACCCTCAAACTTGTACACTTCTTAAGGATATGTCATAGGGCTGCAGTAATTTCAAAAGAAAGGGAGAAAATAAGAATACCAACTCCAGCTTCTTAACTTGTACGCTTTAGCCCATGGTCTTTGGTTCATATGATGTCTGCAGGGACTGTAAGCCTCTTCATGCAGTGCTTTATCTGGATCTAAGCAAAAGCTGCTTGAATCAAACTTATGTGTGGGGCTGTACTTATATTCTTAGGTCTCTTAAGAAGTTACTAGTAAAGACTTTGGTTGGTCAGACTTCTTCACAATTCTATTTTAGAGAACTTGTTCTCTAAATGAAGTAGAAAAATGTTTCCAGAGGCATATGACTAAATCAGGGGTGGGCAGTCATTTTAGCTGGAGGGCTGCTTAATGAGTTTTGGGGACTTGTTGAAGGCCACATTCCTCTTTCGTCTCTCTTGCTCTTTTTCTTTGTCGCTCGCTCGTTCTTTGCTCGCTCTTGCTCGCTCCTCTTTGCTCATGCTCTCACTCTCTCTTTCTCCTTCCACAGCATGGCCAAAACTGTAGTTTGCCAGGATCCCCAGTGGTTAGCTGTGAACCCAGGCAGGAGCTGCTGACATGGATACTGATGCTCACCAGACATAGCAGTAGCTTGTGCCTGGGTCCTCAGCTGAGTGTCTGGGCTCTTGGTGATCTGTAGCTTCAGCTGAGTTCTGGAGGGAAATGGAGGGAGTGAGAAGGCAGAGAAGAAAAACAAAGAGAGACACTGCTGCCTGTCCCACAAGGAAGCAGCTCTTGCCTGGGTCCACAGCTGATGCTATTGACAGGTTCCAGGTCAGGGCTCTGGGCAGGAACTTCTACTCTGTCAGGAGGGCAGTAGGTCAACTGTGGATGCAACTGGCAGGTTCTGCTTCTGAGCTCCTGAACCTGCTTGCAGCATCCACATCTGATGCTGCCACCTGCCCACTGCAGTGGAACCCCTGCCCCTATTAGGCTGCAGAAAACTAATTAATCTTGCAGCAGGGTAGTACTTTTAAATATAACTTCTACCCTGCAGCACTACACGTGTAGATGCTGATACAGCTGGCTAGGGCATGAGGGTGCTTCACTGTGGGGGCTGCCTGCCAGCTAGCCCCACACTGGAGCACCCTTGTACCCCAGCCAGCCCCTCCTACAGTATGTTGAGCTGGGCAGATGCAGCCCCAGGCTGGCAGGCTGCCCCTTGGGGTCCCCTATCAGCCGGGGCTGCTCTAACCCAGCTCAACATGCTGAGGTCTTGCGTGCACATTCAAACAGCGTGCCCAGGAGCAATAAACTTTGGCTCAATAAGTGCTGGAGTTTATTGCTTTGCAGTAATTGCATGAGTAGGCATGCCCAGTAAGAGCTAAGCAATGGTAGTTATGGCACTGCCCTATGCAGGGATGATGCAAAGATACAGTAGGAGTAGTGTGGTGATAGTGTCTCAGGCAGACACCGTCCCTCTCTCTCTTTCTCACTGCTATAGGTGCACAGGAAGAACATGCTATACTATCCTTTGGGTTAATGGAGATTGCTGCCCTTGTTGCACTGGCCCAGCCCTGCTTTGTTGGTAATGGCCCCATCTACTGTATCTTACAATATATAGGTTGACATAGTGTATAAGTCAACCCCATATTTCTGTACAAAAAAGGTAGGATTTTTGTAGATCCATTATATAAGTCAGTCCTGCCTCAGTGTGCAAGCTGCTGGAAACCCATGCAGGCTTGTGGGAGAGGCAGCATACTGGTGGGCTCCCAGGAAGTTACGGAGGCTTCACAGCAGGAAGGATTGGATGCCTCACCACTTATGCCTTCAGCAGGCTTCTGCAGCCCACAGAGCATCTGGGGCTGTCTGGGAAGATGCTAGCATACCCCATGGGCAGCGCAGGGAGTCGGGCAAAGCCGACCCCTTCCCAGGTGATGGCAGACATCCTGCTAGCCGCAGGAGCCTGCTTTAAAGCAGAAGCGGTGAGGGGCCTGATCGTTCCTGTTGCAGACCCTCCCCACATACCCTGGGACCAGAGGGGCAAGCTGCCAGTGGGCCAAGCATCCCCTGAGCTGCAGGGGGGCCCAGTCCTTCCCGCTGCAGTAGTGCCACCCAGGGCTAGCCAGCCTGACTGCCAGCAGACCATGTGCTGCCTGAGCTCCCAGGGGGGTCCAAGGCAGCACTGCTCACAGGGGATGGTGTAGAAGTTGAGACTGAATTTTAAGAGTTACATATTTGGCTTCAAAACTTGACTTTGTGCACCGTGAAATACGGTACTTCTCTTCACACTTCTGTGATATGTTTTATAGAAGGAATAGGAGTAAATATTTCCTGTTCTCTCCAGAAAAACTGAGCCAGGGGCCTTCTGCTATGAAAGAGAACAGACTACTTGCATCCATTCCCTTACTGTGCATTAGGCTTAACTTTGCTTTGGCTTATGCTTTACAGTTGGCTCCATAAGAATTAATCTTTGTGAATCAAACAGCTCCAGAAAGTTCATAGATTCATAGATGTTAGAGCTGGAAGGGACCTCACAAGATCAAAGTTGCTGCTTAGGATTCTTCATTTGCAACTTATACCAAACTGGCCAGTATTAAATAATTTATATAAATGAGGCAGCTCTTAGAAGTGCTCTTATATAGTGATCGCAGGTTTCCCAGTAACAGAGAGGAATTTACAAGACAACAGACCCTCCTTGTATGACCCAAGAGACGCTTGGGTCCAACAGATGCTCCTAATGTATGTATAGTCTATATTTGAAAATGAAATTATAGGTGAACCGAGTGTTATGTTGCATAAGTTGTATCATTTATCTCAGAGTAAAGTAGAGCTGTCAGCTTTTTAAAAACAAATTAAACTGTTTAATATTTCCTTACAGGCAAACAGTAGAACGTGTGACATTACAGAACCAACTCCAGCAGCTTCTAGAGGCCCAGAGAACAGAGAGCATATCACTACCAACATCCCCAAGGTAATAGGAGTGGAATTTTGCAATAGTTTAAGCTGGAATCTTTACATGGTATAACTGTTATCAGGACAGGCCATGGACTATGTAATGATCTAATCATTCACACATTGGAAATGGTGTAAAGCATCATCTGTCAGAAATGAATACATTTCTTTTTACTATTTATTTGAAGTTTGCATCTTTTAAACGGACGGATTAAAATGATATGTAAATATTGGACATTCTGGGTGCATTTACATGTGCACTTAATGAGAAGCAATAAACTGCGGTGCTTATTGCTCTAGAGTTTATTGCTTCTAGGTGTGCCATTTTAATGCGCTCCCAGGATCGCAGCACGTTGAGCCGAGTTGGAGAATTCCTGGCTGACAGGGGGTCCAGGGGTTAATTTACCAGCTCAGGGCTGCTCCCTTCGCCCTGCTCAGTGTTCTGTGGGGGGGCCAGCTGGGACATGAGGGTGCTTCAGTATTATTACTCTGTAATATACATATTCCCGGATCAACATTTATCAAGGTATAGTGTTTAGCTCATTAATAGTAATTAATGGTTAGTGATTAATAGTACATACATTTAGTACCTTATTAGAGCTATAAAGTAATTGGGATAACCGTTGGTAGATAAATGTGAATTTCATTTCTCTTTACACTGGTTCAAACTGAACTTAATTTTGTCCCATTACCCTCATCCATGGGTAAAGGCAGGGTCTCTCAGTTTGTACTGAAAAAAAAGCAAAATATTCTGGCCGATGTCCTGGGCAATGAAAGGTTCTCTGTAACATAAGTCCTTGACAAAAAAATACTTTATATTGGTATTTCTTCACTTCCTAGCACTTGGGTGGGGGGCTGATTAATTTGTTATCCTAATGGTAGTAAAATAAATTAGCATATAATTATTTGCACCCTTTCAGTATTCTAAATCTAAAAGGATTTTTTGTATGAACAGCTCTCGGTTTTTAATATTAAATATTACTCTGTTTGCTTTTAATACTGGGTTAGGTCTAACATTTGTAAGATTCACCTCTGTGTAGAAACCCAGTACAAAGCTGTATTTTTCTAACGTGGATCAAAATAGTTAGCAAAAGCGCAGGTTTTTTATCTTTTTCAAAAAATGGATAAGTCCCATAACTTCAAGAAAGCTTTTTTTCTTCAAATTTTTATCCAAAACTCTTGTTTTTAAATAGCTATTCAGAATTTTATCTTAAAGAATTTTGAGGGGTTTTCCCCTAAAAGCTAGAAACTTAAGGCATCAAATCCTAGTTTAGAATGGAAATAGTGTTACATCTGTAGTTATGTAGTTGTTCCATTAGCTCTATAATAATGGCTTCCACATGAGCAAAGATCAAAATAAATAGGAATATGCTGAGACAGACTTACACAGTAGAAATGGTAGTGTTGGATTTGATATCTGCATAAACTTGACTGTGGTATTGAAAATCTCTCTCTCTCTTTTTTTTTTTTTTTTGTGTTCAAGTTCACCATCATCTCCTGCTTCTGGCAAACCCCAGTGGAAACCATCTGATTCAGATGACTTGTCTGTATCGAAAAGTAAATTGAACACCCAAGACGGGATTCAGATTCTTGGCAGCGTGGGAACTGCCAACCGCACTCGGTCCAAGATGAAAGATGAGGATTCAGATAAAATCCTGCGCCAGTTGTTGGGGAAGGAAATCTCTGAGAATGTCTGTATGCAGGAAAAGCTGTCATTGGAATTTCAGGATGCTCACGCTTCCTCCAAGAACATAAAGAAAATTCTGCCAGAGAAAAGGGAGCTGAAGTTAGCCAGACTGAGGCAGCTTATGCAGAGATCCCTGAGTGAGTCTGATACAGACTCAAATAATTCTGAGGACCAGAAGAACATTCCTGTGAAAAGAACTGACAAACCAAGGCCGCAACCCATTGTGGAAAGTGTTGAAAGCGCAGAGAGCTTGCACCTGATGATTAAGAAACACACTACAGCAGCAGGGCGCCGGTTTCCCTTTGGCATTAGAGCTTCCAAGTCCGTGGATGGCCATAGTCCATCTCCTACTTCAGAAAGCAGTGATCCAGATAATGAGTCTCAGTATCAGTCTGGTACCATATCTCAGAGCCAGGTTTCTGGAGATACCTGTCAGTCCAACTCTGACAGTGCCACTGTTCAGAAGGTTGCTACAAGTCCTAAGAGCGCCCTCAAGTCCCCTTCTTCAAAGCGCAGAACCTCCCAAAATTTAAAACTGAGAGTAACCTTTGAGGAGCCTGTGGCACAGGTGGAGCAAACAGAGATTGAACTGAATGAGGAAAAGGATAAAGACCGAGGCAAATCAGTCCAAAGGGCTCCACTCAACACCGAAGCTGGGGAGCAGTTGAAAAGGCCATTTGGAACATTTAGATCCATAATGGAGACTCTGAGTGGCAACCAAAACAACAACAACAACAACTGTCAAACAGCAAATCTGGTCAAAACCTCATCAACATTGCCATTTACCTCATTAGGAAGAAAGGCTGCAGAAAGCAAAGGGAATCCGACCACTCCTATTAAAGGAAAAAATAAGACAGTGAGTGCTTTGAGGGGTGTGGGAGTGGTGGGGAGAAACCAGGGAATCTTCCCTCCCCCCCTGCCCCTTTCTGTATAATGAACAATATTGTTTCTAGTTAAGATGACAACCTCTTCTTCCCTCCCCTATACAGCGCTCACACAAGCACACACACGTACTCAATCACTCATGCCCTCATGCACAATACTCTGTGCTGGTCTGGTAAAAAACTGCAGAATGCAGATCATATTTCACTTTCGCTATTAAGGGCATTTTAGGTGGAGAAGGAATTGAGGAGGGTAAAATGTACCCCATGCATAAAGTTGCATCCTGTAAGTCCTCCACTGCCTTTAGTGATGCACTGGCTCTGTGCCAAGCCTTCTGCACAGGGGTAAATTTTGCCCAAGAGGATCTTTTATCAATATTATGAATGCCAGCTCATAGAATGAGAACATAAATTTAAAATCCTTTGGATTTCTAAGGAGTAAATAAATTCAGGCCAGCCCTGGACTAAAGACATGACTGCCAGGATTGAGTGAGTGGCAGAAAATAAATCAGGAAAAAATAAGATCAGCATCACCTGCTGGCTGCATTGCTCTTCCGTGCATTGCTTTGGGCTCTAGTACTGTCCCATGCATTGCATAAGGCCTTTCTTAAACCCTTCTCAGCTTCAGGTTTCTTCCTCTTATATATCCTGCTCTCCAAGAAGAGCACCTGACTGATACCTATCATCTGAGAGTATTCATGGCAGAGTGGGCTGTACTCTGATCATTGCGCACATCCTTGAGACGCAACTAAATGTATTTTCTGTAAGACATAGGGAAAAGATGGCTGCTTCTGCTCAAGTGAACTCCCATGTTTGAAAAAGGGATAAGAACCCCACCCCCCAAAAGAAATGTCTTCCTTGAAGTAGAGAGAACATGAAAGGGATGCACCAAGGCAAAGAATGTGAGTGCAGTGTGTGTGTATGGGAAGGATTGTGTCTAAAGGGGTGGAGAACTGAAAATATGAGGGGTGTCATGGCTAATAATCTGAGTGTGAGGGATAAGTGACGTGTGAGAAGGAAGGATTAATAGGATGACCAGAAAAAGATGAAGTTGAAAGTAAGAAAAAAAACTAATATAAAACATAAAGGGGGGCTAGGATGAAGGGAGAAAAGAGGGAGGAATTATCTACCATATAAAAATATCATTCAGAACAAACAAGACAAGGTGGGAGGAAAAAGTACATTCAGATATTAAAAAAGGGGAAGAGTGGAAAGAGCATCTTGTGGGTGACATTACATTTGACTTCAGTATCTATAGAGCATGTCATGCCAAAATATTAAATGAAAGTATACAAAAAGGACCAAAGAGGGGACCACACAATAAAGTTTGCTTAGAACTGTTCAGCAGGAGTAAGGGATGCAAATCTGAGCCTTAGGCTGCCTTACATTTTGTTTAGTTGAGCTGCCATTTAAACACAGAATTAATTTTAACACCATAAAACCCAACCCTTTCAAAAAGGATGGATTCTAATATTTCACTGAGATAAGAGGATCAAAAATGTTCTGACAGAGCATGAGCTCATAAATGATTTGCCTTGCTCACTAAGTAAGATTAAGCCATTTGAAAAGAAATTTTGACCCTATTAGTCATTGAATGCAGCACGACACTTAGGACCACATTCTTTTCCATCCATTAAGCATTTGCACAGACTTAGGTGCAAGTCATTTAGAACTGATCTGCTTCTGTAACACATCATGCTCATACCCTTAAGACTGAGTCATAAAAAAGCAGCGAGGAAGAGAAGGACCAAGACACCTTCTGCACTGACTAGGCCCTCAAGCAGGGTGAAATAGACGTGCACTTAGGCCCCTAAAGTCACTTATTTGCCTACCAGGTGGAATAGGATCTGGCCTCTGGTCTACAAAATGCTTGCCGAATGTGAAGGTGCTTTGTTTACATGTTGTCTTTGTTAAATATGAAATTCACTTGGAAATATTGGATTTCACAACTATTCAAGAGATGCACAACACAGGCAGTGAACTTTCTTTACCTTGACTAAGTAGTAGGCTACATATGGTTTCAAAAATAACTTTTTTTTAAAGTTTTCCTTGTTAAAAATACCCTACTGAAGTCTTTTGATTGCATGTTTCCTTTTAATAGGCCAGTATATATTATGCATGTGATAAGCTCTTTGCATGTTTTCAACTGATTTATGCATTGTACTTCCCTAGGGGCATTACTCCAGTTACACCAATCTTTCTTCTAGCACATTGATTGAAGAACACCTCTATAACTATGCTTGGTATGTGCTGATGCAAAATGAAATGTTTGGCTTTGCTGTTGTTTGTTTTTTCCTAATTGCACGTGCTTGTTAAATCATTCACACCTGAGATTAAATGATGAATGTGGCATGGGGTTTTGGGGGAGGAGGGAATGCACGGGGCTGATGCTTCATTTCCTAGAAATACAAAAACTTGTGCTCAATTTTTTTGCTAATGTCACAGGCGAACTAGCTGAGAGATTTCAGTGCTGAGCATGCATTAAAAGTAGTCATGCTCATAAATCCACCATGCAGTTTAGCTCAGCTTGGCATAGACCTTAGTCTCCATTGAATGAAAATCAAGTACCAGATGAGAATGGAAATTAAATTTCCTCTCATGAGAAGGGCAGATCAACCCTCAGTCATATTTTGAACATAAAGTACAGTGTTCTCCTCACCCTGCCTCAGACTTAAGAAGAAATTAAATTTGTTAAAACAAAGTCTTATGATTTTGACCATGAGTCTAAGCATTCTTATTTAAGTATACTCTGTTAGGATTGTCAGGCAGACAGAGACCAGTCCCTCAGGATCCATAAACATACCTAAGAAAAAGCAGCGTTGGATAAGATATATGCTTGTTTTAAAAGAAAATATTCTATAAATGGCCCCGTCATTTTTGATCAACTGCAAGCAACTTTGTGAGTAGTTTTTCGGTTTCATCAGGATTTAAAGTCCTTTATTGAACATGAACATAACCAGCATGATTCCTTTAAGGTATTGACTGAACATTTGAAAAGTTTAAAATATCTTTTTTTAGTACATCAGGAGTGTACATTATTTTAAAACATCACTTTCTAAAAAGTATTGAGCTTGTATCGAGATTTGCTTATAACCTGGGTACTTCTGACTTATGAGAAACTTCATTTAAATAGCTCAAACTAGGATCTGCTTCTGATCTCATATCACTGTCAATGAAATCAGAATCCAGGCATTCACAACACTTTGTATACAGTTTTCCCCTCTTTACTTTCAACCTGTTCTAATGTAAGAAATGTATTAAGTATGAAACTATGTCTCATAGAATCGGTTGACATTTTCCAGCCAAACATCCAAGATTCCTGGACTTTTGAGAGTTATGAGGCCCTTAATGTTGTTCCTGAGCTAGAACCATCTTTTAAGATTGCCAGCTCACAACCTCGCTGCATTAAAATTGGCCTCCCGTGAGAAGTTCCTGGCAGCACAGGCTTTCTGCTGGAGCAGTAACTGATGCTCCAGTCCTGGCTGCCATCAGTAGAGGCCTCTACTGGGAGACTGAGCTGCAGACTTTGGACTGCAGCGTTTAGCCATCCCAGTAAAGACTTTTCTCTGCTTACTGTGCTGCACAGATAAAATTTTCTCCCTTATTTGTGCTGCTTTGTCCCCAGAGGAGATGGAGAATGAAGAAGCCAGTGTTGGAGCAGTTTGTTCCCATGCCCAGCTCTGTATAGAGGGAAGAGAATCAAAGGAGGAATGGCATGGGAGAGGAGGGAAAAATTATCCCAAGGCCATGTGTGTCTCACCCAATCTCCTGCCTACAGGGAACCAAGCCTGACCTGACTGCGCTGCTGTAGAACTGGCTATAGGAACATCCAGGGAGAGGAAAGGAGTTGAGCAGGGGTCCATGCCACCTAGTGTGAATTGAAGGGAAAAGTTCTCAGCAGCCATGGAAAAAGGGAGGCAAGAGGTAGTGCCTGCTGTCAGGGTGAAGCTGCAGAGATCAGAGTACAGAGGAGGGATGTGTGGCTCATGCTTTGGGAAGCATTCCTCTACTATCCAGGAGTAAAAACAGTGGACCCCTTTATTGATGTGAACATGTCTTATTCCTTACAGGATGAAGGAATTTCCTGAACCAAATTCTAAAACAGGGGAGATTCTTCCAAAAGTCAGAAATCAAAAAAGTAGGCCAGAAAGTAGTATGTTTTTAAGGGTTTTTCAGTTTTTTACGATAACCTTGTGATACATTTTAGTTTAATGATTTTTTAACGTTCAAAGTGAGTAAGTATGTGCCTGTTGTTTCTCTACCACATCAAAGCACATGGCCTGTGAGGATCAGTGGGCCAGCAGAAGAATCATCATTTTTCATCTTCCCAGTCATTAGGAAGAGTATGACTTTTTACCCTGGAAGGGTTTGGAAGACTGTAATTCTGGTTGAGGCATTACACAGCTGCTCCCGAAGAGAGAAACCTTTCTGAAAAAGGGAGTAGTAATCTCTGCAGTTATAACCCTATGCAGGTCTTTAGATCCATTGCTTATTTTTCTTGACAGAGTACTAGACTTTGTACCCTTGCTTTGTATGTGGGAATTTATTAGCATGTGGTAAATAATTATTTGAGATCAGTCTCATTCCCATTCAGCCCTGGCTACAGTGTGTCTTCATTTTCGTTTTCTTTTTTCACTTATATTTTATGTTTTGGGGGGTATAGTTTTGTTTGCTTGATTTATTGATGTGTTTAAAAAACTCAGTTATGTCAGGGGCTCTGTTGGCTATTTACTTTTCCAAATTGGCCATAATTTGATAGCCAAGACATTTATTAAAATTTCCAGTGGCTTTTTAAAATGAGATTCACTATAGTTCTCTGAATAGCCTAAATTAAATTCCAGTTGTAGAGAATGACTTTTTCTTTTTTAAAAGGACTGGTTAGTTTTTGATTATTACAAATCCAAACAAATGTTAGCAATTATTTGTACCCTAGATGCCAATGAGTTGCTTAGTTTTCACAGTTTAAGTCATTTGAGATCCGTAGTAGATTAAATTGAGAACTGATGCATCTTATCAGTAAAAGGCTCTTTAGGGTTACCATATTTCCAGTATCAAAAAAGAGGACATCTGTGGGGGGGAGGAGAGCAGTATTATGCCCGTTGCCTGCCTCTGCCCCTCCCTCCTAAGCCCCTGCTCCCCTAGCCCTGCCAGTGCCCCTCACTCCTGATCCTCAGCCCCCAGCCCTGCTGGTGCTCCTTGCTCCTGACCCACAGTACCCTGCCCGCCCACCCACCCCTCCTGCCCTGCTGCCCATGCAGCTCTTGCACATGCTTGTGTGCATGCATGCACACATACATATATACACACGCTCTGTCTCTTACCTGGGAGCAGCTTGCCAGGGGCCACATGCAGAGCACAGGACCCCTGACAGCTAATCACCTTGCCCGTCGCTCCCAGCCCCAAGCAGCCAAGTTGCTAGTGTCCAGGAAAGCAGAAACAGCAAAAAACCTAGACATTTGCTCACATTTTAAGAACCTGCTTGGACACAAGGACAGGGGGCCAAAAAAGAGGACATGTCCAGGAAAACCCAGACATATGATAACGCCACTCGTATTAGCCTGTGGCAGTTAGCATCTTAATGTACTAGTGCAGCAAGGAAATCCACCACTGTGGGGTCCCTGGTAGTTAATGGTATGTGCTTCTAAATTGCCAAGTGCCTATTAAACAGTAACTTTCAGCAATGTAAGTTCTTGGGTTCAGTAGATGACAAGTCTGGAAGTAAGAATACAAAACTGGTCTGAAGATCACTTATGCCAAGTCAGCAAAGGGAATGGTGCCTTCTGTGCAAAGGGAATGGTATGTACTGATCTCACGGTACAAACAGTAGCCAGTCTCAGCTTGCAACCAAGAGACGCAAACTAGAAACCCGAGTGAATTTTTTATCCCTCAGGCTGGCAGGAACTGGGAACTGTAAAAGCATAAATAAATAAATAAAAAACACTAAAGTTCCCTCTAATACCAGCACGGTGAGTTGCAAATTACAATGGCCAAGTCTACACTGTATCATGCAGTGCCATGCAGAGATACCTGAAGTAACTCTATATAAACTGGCTTAGGTAGCTGAAGCAGGTTTGCATATCACTCCAAAGAGCAAATAAGCCCTTCTCAGAGGTATCTAGCCCCCTTGTACTGTTTTCAGAACCCAAACTAACTCATTCAGAGCTGTGATATGTTTGACATTGTTGATAGGTATGTTTAAGCCCAAAAAAGAGAGGTAGCTAAATACAATTCCTTGGTCCGGGCTTTCATAGTTGTACATTATGAACCAGCCATTCTGGGACCTACAGAAACTGAATCCCTTGTACAGATCACGGAGCAGTTGCAGAGCTGCAACATGGAAGCTGTTTGAGCCCCATGTCTGAAGGAAATAGATTTCAGTTCTGTGTGGCCCACACATCGGGAAGGGTGATAGGGTCCACCCAGCATAATTCAGTGATGTAAAAAAATAGTGGTGAGTTACACCAAAATCTCTATTTAAAACCATTAAAAAATATTACAAATCAAACACTGCAGACAGCTGAAGTCAGCAATGCCTGGTAAATACAAGAGCAGCAGAATAATTGGCAGGAGAGAACTTTTCACTGGTTTTCCTTTTTAAACCCCCTTTTTCTCTTTGTTCATCCTTCACTGTAAGTGTGGGCATGAGGAATAACTGGTCATCAGTACCAAGCAGGGTTTTAGAACAAGAAGACTTAGTCCAGACATTCAAAAAGCCTGAGGTGGAATTGATCTAAGTTGCTTGGTTTTCTGTAAGCGGTGTAGTTCAGATCGGTAGCAAACAGAATGCACATTTGCCCTTCAGTGGCAGGGTCAGGTTCCACCATTTTTAAACCAGTCTGTGCGTGCCAAACTTCTGTTATGGGTATAGACTGGTTTCTGATTGCATATATCGTTAAAAGTATAACGTCTGTACTTAGCTAAAGATTTCTGACTGCATTGTTCCCACATTGTTCTCCTGTAAACTACCTGTGGCAATGAAACCAGCCATGAGGAGTGTGTGGCTAATGCAGCCCTGTGCTCAGTGCACATTCAGCCCTCTGTGCCCATTGAAGCATGGGATAAATTAAAGGACCCAGCAAACCTGCACTGTCTTGGAGAAAGATCAGGGCTGTGAAAATATGAGCTTGAAGCCACCTTTTCAGAGGCACACCCTTGACCTGTGCTTTGTGAAGTTTAACCTCATCCCAGGATCTGGCCTATGTGCTGATTGTATCGCAGGAGTCTTCCTGCTAGGAAAGAAACAAAAGGAGGAGCTTTAGGAGTGCATGCAAGTCATTTGGAAAATGGGAGTTGGATTTCTAACCCCTTTCAGAATTTTTGAAAATCCAACCCAAGACTTTTTCACTGAAGGGCTTCATTGATGAGAATCAGAACAGGTTTGGGTTCACATTTTACAGCAAAGTCAAATAAAAGGCACTGGAATATTCTGAGCTGAATTGTTTTTGTTATGTAATAATTTGCATGGGTTTTTTTTATAAGGGTTTTTGTTGGGGGTGGGCTTCTGTTTAGTTTTGCTGCTTTAATTGAAAGGGTAACATTTTGGGAAAATAAATAGTATGCACCTTTCAAAACCAGTTACATGGGATATTAAGGATATTAAGACACACATTATACAGAAGGGGTCCTTACTAGTGTTTCAGATAAAAACCTTTATACAATAAAACTAAAAAAATTGTTAACAGTTGCAGTCTACAAATAAGATCCAGTGCTTGCCTAAATAAGCTCACGGTATAATTATTGTTTTGTCATGGTGTAATATTTTCTGAAACACTTTGTGATTTAAGTAGGAGTCCAATTCCCATTGTCTTTCGCTGGGACTTGGGAATTGTTTAACATTATATGAATTTTCATTAAAGATTTTATTCGTGCCCCAATCTACACAGAGGTTTACGAAGGCCCCATTTGTGCAATGAGGGTTATGTGTCTGCGCACACAAATCTGTTTGCAAGAGAAGCAAAAGGAAGTCAGTTGGACTACAAATAGCATTAAGCTGAGAGTCAGTAAAACATGTTTAGAGACTCCAAAAGAACGATTCATTACAATTCAAAACTTTAAATCTGTATATAACAAGATAAATGAGCACTAATCAATATATTTCAAGTTAATGGTATGACCCTGAATAATTTTCTTCTTTTCTTCTCAGGCATAACAACATCAACAGGAAAAGGCAGAAATCTTACAACCAAAAAAGAATTGAAGAGCCAGAGTTACAGGAGCTCTTTCTTTAAATTATATCTCATGGTGTCTCACTGTCTCCCTTCAAGCGTGATTTGAAATGCCTGAACTATATCCTTTTAAAACACTAATACGAGACACAACTCTCACCAGCAAAACAACAGACTGTTAGGATGCCTTAATTTGTAGCAGCAAGACCATATACAAACCCTTTTTTATGATATTGTGTTATGATATTGAACTTGTTTGCAATGTCCAGTGTTTAAAGGCATGAGTGAGTAAAGTAATGGTTTGGAAATTATAATAACACAGGCAACCTCTAGAACATTCATCTGGCCCCTGAGCACATTTTGTACTTCATCTATTGCATGGATAAACTGTAATATGACTATATTTCCCTTTCTTCATGACATACTGTAAAAATTTCAGTCAGGACTCTGCCTGATTGGCTCCTGGATGAGACCAAGGCAGTAGCATTGTTTTTGGGTTTTTTTGGTCAAGTATGTTTTGTCTGTTGTTTCTGTTTTTTGTATAAAGGAAATAAAAACAGTGTTCATAGCAATATACCATGTGTATGTGCCCAGGCACTTCTGAGATGCGCTCTTGTCACCTTCCAACTTCCCACTTTTATAGTGTTCAAACACCTAGACTTAATGCAATTAGGAAAAGTCAAATAATGTCCAAAATCGGTATAACATTTTTAATGGATTTTTCTTGTTTTCAAAGAAAATTCAGAGATTAGAAATGTGGAAATAAATGTGAGAATTAACATGTATCATTCTTTATTATTTGGCAAGTACTAGCAATGGGCTGTATGCTGTACAAGCATTAGACATAGTCTCTGGCCTGAAGCCCCTGCACTCTGTTAGGCCCGGTTTCAAATATTTTCAAAATCAAGTATCTTCCTTTAAATTCAACATGAGCTAGCTCAGACTTTGAAAGCCAGCACAAGTAACATAAGACACTCTGAGCAATTCAGAGAAGCACAGGTCAGGGCTATATTGTTAATGTCATCTCAATTTTTGCTTTTTAAACAGTGTTGCGTTAAAGAAGGCTATTAGTGGCTTTTTACGGGTTAGTGTTTTAGAGCTTCATGGAAGAAGTCAGTCATTAAGTCTTCATTAAGTTCACTTTTAGGTTTCTTATACATCATCCAAACATTACATTAGGCAGTCCTTAAACTTTGCAGTCCTAAAGGAGACTGGCCAACAATGGTTAAATTAATCATTTTTCTCTCCTTTTCATCATTTCTTATCAGCTGTGCCACCTTGGCTTGGTGGAAAGATTTTAATACCTAACATTGGGTTTCCACAGGGTTAAAAAAAATACAAGAAGCATTACTTGATAGCAGACTTTCCAGTGACATTCTTTCCCCAAAACAGATTAGCTGCAACACTGGAATTATACAAGTTAATTTTGTAGTTATTATATGATGGGTGATATAAAGTGAGAGGCCAGGATGTAGTTTGATGGAATAAAATGCAGTCACTTTGGGTCACTTTTCATCATGTTGTGTTTTAATATTGCAACTGTCATTGACTTCCAAGGAGATGTGTTGTTCAATGCCCTGTGCTTGCTTGCAGGCTTTATACAACAATGCCTTCAAGTAACATACCAATGATGAGAGATTAGAAAAATAACAAATGGAAATAGAGAAGCAAGTACTGTTAGAAATGAAATTCTGAATTTCTGTCAACGTCCTCAGTCCTTATCTTTCCTTTGGCAATGCTTTAATTTTCAAATACAAGTAATAAGCTTTGCACTCCAGCTGACCTGAGCTGTGGCTTTTAGAAAAACAGCAAAACTTACAAAATATCTGACAGCTAGGAATAGTGATACCTCAAATGGGGCCTCCAGTCTTCCATGTGTGCATGAGAAATGGAAATCAAAGTGTGAAGAAGTACATGTGCTCCAGTCACCAGAGTGTTGAAAGATGACTTCAGAATAAGAGGTGAGGATCCTATGTCTAATATATGAATTTCTGGAGGCAAATTGAAGATTTGTGTTTTTAAGAATATGAGCTGTATGGACAACAGTCTTATGGACATGACAGAGTATACAAACATAACTTGGTTTATGAAGGGCAGACAGACAGTTAATTCAGATAAAATCAAACTTGCAGCATGTTAAAAATGTTCTCCCCTCAACAATGGCTCCTCCGTAACTGCACGCTTAAAGATGACAGGTCTGACATTCTAGAGGAAGAAAGACTCGCCTAAGAATGTGACGGACCGAGATTTGAAAGACAGCTTGATTCCTTTGGGGCGCTGAATCAGCAAGGAGATTAACATGTGTGCAGCTCTCTTCACTGATTTGATGTGTGTGAAGCACTCTGTAGCTGTCTATAATATCTTTGCCACAGCAGGGGACAAGGTAAACCTTGATGAAAAGATTTGCAACAACCTAAGGTGTAAATATTGTCAAGGACTGGAAGAAAGGAATTGCCTCTTCTGGACATGAGGGCTTATGAGGACACCTGCTGTTGGTTAGCTTCCAATGTCAAATGAGTGTAATTGTGTTCCATATCTAAGAGGGAAGAATTGAAGCACATGGTAAATCAAATTACCCAAGCACTGACAGAATAGGATACCAAAAGATACTTAAAATGTATTGTAAAAGATCCCATGTATAGTTCTGGCTAGGAATAATGCCAAAAGTTCCTAGATAACAGGAGAATAAAAGAGTATGAAAGTGCTGGATGTGACTGACATCCATATGCACATTTGGTACGCATTACCCAGGTTACTGAATGCATCCGTTTTTCGGCATCAGCCCAATTTTCACCTGCAGAAAGTTATGGGTGGCAAATTAATCCAACAGAGAAGTTTGACTGCCATCAACATAAAAAAAGAGCTCCTGGCCTTCTACATCACACACGAGCTCTACAATTCTCAAGTCATCTTTGTCTTCCTGCCTGGCAGCCAGGTTGAAAAAGGAGGGAACAGTCACCTTACCTTATTATTATCTTGTATCAACTATAGGACCAAAGGAGAAGGTAAATGACTATTTGGATATCATTCTCTCCTCACTGGCTGCTTCATCCCTTGCAAATCATAAAGATGGATTTTGTGGGTGCAGAATGCATAAATGGCTTTCTTTGCTGCTGAGACATGAGGTGAAGATTGCCCTCATGAGCCAGGAACTTCAGTGACTGTTATTTGCTTCAGTGGAGCTATTCTGACTCATGACCTATGTAAGTCTGGGAGTGATTGCTAATGAACTATTGTGTTCCTGTCCTGATGAGGCTATCACAAAGCATTCATTGAACTTAAAGCATATTTCAATTTCAGACGCACTGAAGAATTTCAAAAATAAGTAACATCTATCTAGGCATCTTAAAGGTTTTATATTGCAGTCCATTATCAAAGTATCTGTACTTCATTCACTTAATCCAGTAGAAAAAGTGAAGTCTGTAGCAGCTATAATGTAGTGTTTGGCTCTTCTCTCTTTTTTAGATTTAAAAAAAATCCTGTCGGGTTGTATCAGCATAAATTGAGTTTTGTTTGTTCATTACAGAAGTTTTGGGGTTTTGTTTGTTTCGATCCTGGTGTTTGACTATATTGAGTGTCATTGATGTGAGTATGGCTCTTTATTCTATCAGGAAAGTACTGGGTGATGAGTTATCTTATGTTAGTACAGCTGTGTCGTCATTACATAGTTCATTCATTTTTAAATTTTACATTAGAGGAAAAAATGTTGGTGCAGTAGGTTATTAATAAATGAAATACACTAGGTCCAGCACAATCAGTTTGTGAGGATCTTGAAGAAAGATGACAAGATGGAGAGGCAAGGGAAACAGTAGTTTATGTTTAACATTTGTTCTACTCGAGCTGTCACTCAGGATCTTCCCTGTAATGTTAATCTGACATAAGATCAATGGCAAACAAAATATGAGTGGCAGCATAACAATAAAAATATTCCATCATCCGTACATTTGTAACACTGATAACTGGCGTGGAAATGTGTTCGTTGAAAGGTGCTTTGCAGTCTGTTTTGTACTTTGCTGCACTGCTATAGTCTGAAATTACTTTGACAGTAGAGTCTAAAGTAAACCGAAAATGTCAGCACATTATGTGCTAAGTGTGAATTAATGTCTTCATGAATGGATTTATTGCTGTGCAGTTTTGTCTGAAGAATAAGCCAGCTGCTGCTAACCTTGCAAATATTTCTTAGCCTTTTACAAACCTATTGGATTGAAATCTGACAAACAGTTACATGCTGCAGCCAGGATTCAGATTGGATTGTGCTTTGCCTTAATCATTGCCCTTTGTAACAGTTTTAAGCCTGGCCCAGGAGGGCAATTCAGAATGACCTGGTCAGGTGTTTAAGATCCTTGGAGAGTCAACGAAGACACCCAGGTAGCTTAAATTTGCCATTCACATTTATGTGGCAAGCCTCTCTGTGCAGACAAAGGGGACAGTGTGTGCATCTTCACAGAGCAGTACACAGAGATCAGACTGTGATTGGGGCAGTCCAGTTCAGGCAGGCAGCAGATGAGTAGAATACCAAGAATGGCACCTTTTGAGCCACAAAATTTTCCCTTCCCCCCAAATGTTGGTGGCACATAAAACTGTCTTTTCCCTGAAGCTCCTTCTTATTAGAGCCCTCATAGAAACCACAAAGATATGTAGGCAGATTCTTCTCCTTCCAGAGAGTTCTGCATTAGTCACCATATATCACCACAACAGACTGCATGCCACAACTACCATGCATATGTGAACAAGCCAAGAGGCAGAAGACTGCAGCAGGCAATCTCTACTCACCTTGGATACCCTCAAGCCTCCCAGAACTAGCACAAAGGTCTGTATTGCTCATCCTCACAGATCAACTCTAAAACATTAAACAGAATGGAGTTAGTGGCAGCCGCACCATACGCCACAGGTTGGTGGACATGAGTATGCAAATGATGCAGCTGTATTCTGATCTCGGGAGCTGGGCACTCTCCCTACAAGCTATAGGCTCAGAGTTGGATCTGGGCACAAAGTCAGTCACAGGTTCCCAAATCAATGATTCTCAACCAGGATGCCATGAAAAGCTGCCAGGGTACTACAGCACCATCATTGCTGCCACCACCTCGCCAGGTGAAATTGCCCTGTTTTCAGGAGGCCCATCAGAGCTGAACTGAGAAGTGGCTGCAGCAGAAGGGTGCACGTACCTGCATTACATTATGCAGGCAGGAATGACTTCTGCTGCAGCTTTTCCCAGTTTGGCTCCAACATACCTCTTGAAAACAGTCATGCAGGACAATCCCATTTTCCCAGCAGAGCTCTGTTTCTGGGAGACAGTGTGCATGGTAAGACTGGCAAGGGCTCTGGCAAGAGTATGTTCTCCTGCAATAGCCACTTCCTGATTTAGTTTTGCAGGAGGTATATGGCACAATTCTACCATGGCCATGGCAGTGGCACAAATATAATGACCTAATCCTTTACTAATGTATGAATAATATATTTATAAACCTATTGTATGCATAATATGTTTTAATTCATTTTTTTAAAGGGTTGCTGCTAAATTTTGCAAAGGTTTGGAGGGGTGTCTTGAATCTAAAAGTGGTTGAGAATCACTATGCTAGATAATGGAGAGGTACATAGAAGCATGCACAGGCCTGAATCCACTGCATGCCAGCCTCTCAGTGTAGTCTGAGCTCTGCCTTGGTGTTAAACCTGTAATAAGAATACCAGTGAGACATACTGGGTGCATCTACAGGAGATACAGTAATGCGCATTAACGTAGTTTACTGCACAGTAAGTGCACACATCTATATGTGTGCGTGCTTACTGCACAGTAAAAACCCTTAATCCTGCTTCAACTTGCTACTTGCAAATGCACATGTGTAGATGCAACCTGGGAGCAAGTTTGCTTCTGGGTCTGCCCAGCCACTAGGGGGCTGTAGGCTGGGAGCCTCTCCTGGCCCAGGTTTGAGATGCCTCTATGGCTATAAAGGCCTATAGACATTTTGAGCCCTGGGGCACATGGACAGGGACCCTGAGGGCACTACAGGCCCTTGTGTCCCCCTTGGCAAGCCACAGCCTAGCTGTGCCTGCCTGCTTGCCTGCCTGCCATCACCCTAGCACTGCTGCCTAGCACCCCACTGCCATGCAGCTGCCAGGACAATGCTTCCCAGGCTAGAAGGGTGCTGCATGCTGCTGCAGCCTCTGGCCAGGTCTGCCAGCTCCCAGGGCCACATGCAGGCAGCCTCTGGCCAGCACCACTTGCCTGCAGCACACCCCCAGCAGCCTGCCCTGCACCTACAGCTGCTGAGGGGCATTTCCTGCATTGTGCAACTGACTATCCCATGCCGTGGCCCTCCGCTGGGCACTG